ACCAACACCAGGCACAGCTCTTCCTACCACAGGCTGGGGCCTAGGTCTTGTGCTGTTGCACTAAGCTGGAGGAGCCTCCAAAGAGGGAAGTCACAGGCACTCCAAGAGATTATCCCAGAAAATGTCAAATGGCATGTACTGGAACATGCCAGCAACACGCCCAGCAAAAGCTGGGAAACCTATCATTGGATGGGAATGTAACATGGGGAGTGCTGGCATGGGAACCGGTCCAGACTGAAGCCCTAGGAACTTGTGAGAGCCCCAGGAGCTGAGGGAATAAGAAGCAGAATGTGGTGTCCTACAACCCATCACCTGCACACTCTCAGGTTCAGCCCACCCAGTCAATGCAGGACCTACCACAGGGACTCCCCCTGCTCCTGTCCAGGCTGGAGCCAACCTCAAATTTCCAAGGAGGTTGTGGGGCAGGACTCCCACCAAGATCTCCCGGAGAGCCATGGGGCAGGTGGCATGGATGCTGCCTGGGCAGTGCAGAGGTGGCTTACCTATGACAAAGGCCTCCTTGGACTGCGTGCCGTGCTCGTTGTACCAGGGTGGCCGGCCCGCGGTGTAGATGGTTCGTTTGCTGGTGCGCAGCAGCGGGGGCTCGGACTTGCACTGGCTGGTGGTCCGCTTGCGGGGGGGCTTGGTGGAGCCCACGGCGGGATACAGCCGGTCCAGGGACTCAGCACTGCTGTTACTGTGTGGGGAGAGGAAGGGGCACGATTACTGGTGGTGGGGAAGGGGACACATTCCCGCTGTGTGGGATCAGGGTCTTGGTGGATCCTTTGTACAGGTGAGGGATGCAATGGAAAGTTGGGACAGCCAAGCACAGCCTCGCTGCAGCACCCACATCTCTGTGACCCATGGCCACAGATGACACCGAGGAATTCTCACACAGAAGAAATTTTAAACTGGAAAAGGCACCATGCAAACATCCATCCCTAAAGTCTTGGTGTTTGAGGAATGTCTGCATGAAATAAATCCCCCAGAGAGCCCTCAAAGCACTGAGAGGTGTGCTACAGGGGGCAACAACCCACCCTAGTGTGCCAAGGGACCTTTCTTGGGGATAGCAGTCGAACACAAGGGCTACAGCACAACCATCCTCATCCCCCTAATCCCCTTCCTCTCCCCACTTTGAGTGCTCCAGTCACACTCAAGACCTGGTTCTCCCAGCCTTTTGTCCTGAAGCCCCCAGGGACAAGCCTGCAAGCTGGGCAGAGCCAGGCAGAGCCATCAGTTTGCCTTGGGAGCTGAGAGAGCTCTGAGCTCACCCAAAGCCCTGGAGCTGCTGAACGCTCCCTTATCACCCTGAGGGAGAGGAACAAGGCACCCTCCAGAGCCGTTTCCAGCTTGGCAGGAGGAGAGCTGTGGTCAGGAGGAGATAAGTGGCCTCTGGCCAGGAGATAAGCTGCAGCCACTGCCTGGCCAGTGAAGGGACAGGGAGGATTATTTATACCGGTGCCTGCTCCTCCCTGCTCCTGATCTGCTGCCCCCGAGGGACGTCTGCTCCCTGGGAGAAAGTGCAAAGGGCTTTCCCTGCTCTTCTCCCTAGCCATGACAGGGCTGGAAAGGAAACCAAGAGATCTGGGCACCACTGGCTTCAAGCTGTCACTGTTTGGTACAGCCCGACAGAGCCAGCGGGGCTTTGCTGCTGCTCTGATATGGCTTGCTCTTGAAAGGGCTTAAACTGCAGGGCTTTACAGATTTTGGGCTGATTTTAAGCTGTTTCGGTATGAAGATTAATTCCCTTCCCTCCCCCAGCCCTTTTTAGAACAATTTTAGATAAAGATCAAAATTTCAGAAGGGCCATCTGTGTGTGAAGTGACCCAGCAACCGCCACCCCTGCACAGGAAACAAACCCCCTGGGCATGGCAAGATGCCCACAGCAAACCCCCTGGGCATGGCAGGATGCCCACACCACACCAACCCTACCTCTGGCACATCCCTGTGGAGCAGGCAAGGAGACAGGGATTTGCCTGGCACTGCTGAATTCCTGCTAACAAAAGGCAGGCTGCAGCTCCTGCCCATGTCAGGGTCTCTCCCACCGATGTCCACCGTAGGCTGTGCACTCATGGAGTTCCCCACAAGAGCTCAAGACACCAACACCCCTTCCCTCACCAGAGCCCATCAGCACACACAGCCAGCTCCAAGCATTGCCAGGCTGGGGCTCAACTAGGAGCCCAAAACACCCCAACTATGACTCTTAAAAAGCAGCTTCAGGAGATGACACCCATTAGGAAACCTTCTGAGGTGTCTTCCTGTGGAAAAATGGCTCCTTTCATGAGGAGAAGCAAATCCAGGTGGGATGTTTGGGTTTCCTCTCCCTCTGGTGATGCTGCAGCATCCACTATCCACCGGTGCTACTCCCAGAGCGGGCCTGACAGCAGCCAGGGGTGCTGAGGCATAAACAACATCACTTTGGCTTGACAGAAGCAGAGGTGACAAAAACACAGTTGTTTACCACAGAAGAAAGCGGTTCCTCTCATCCGCGTCCCAGCCCCTCTCCTGAGACCGTGGTTACTCCAGAGCCATGGGCTGCTCTGCCGCTTTTCCCCCGGGGTTGCACATCAGTCTCCACGAGACAGGCGAGCCTGTTGGGATGCTCTGCTACTTGGTGTCACACAGCACCAAGCTCTGCTCTGCCAGCCTGCAGATCCTGGCCCAGGCCACCATTCCCAAAGTGACTCCAGGTTGGACAAAGCTCTGTTTTTTGGAGGTGGATCAAGGCTGAGCTCTGCTCCCACTGCCTCCAACCGGCATCAGCATCACCCAGCTCCTGGCAGCAAGGAAGAGGCTTGGACTCCAACATCTCCACCAGTTCCCAGAATTACAGCCACAGCCCCACCTCACTTTCCCAAATGTCATCTCTTGCTCCCCAGGGTGCCTGCAGCACATCCAGGGTGTTGGCACAGAGGGGACACTGCCGCAGGATGCAGCACCTGAATCCCGTCCCAAGAATTATTGCTCTGCCTTATCTCATCCAAATAATTCTGCACTTTCATCAAAATTCTACACATTTCTATCAGTATCATCTAAACTTGTACCTCTACACCTCATCTATGCCTGTATCTTCTACAGGCGGATGATATTCTACACCTCTCAAATCCACAATTCCCATGATTTATTTGGGAGAAGCATGGCTGTGGGCTGTTCTCCAAAGGTCATGCCTTTTCTCCTAATGTTACACTTCAAGATTTATAGATGTTTTCCATGGATGCCTTTGCCAGGAAGGGGCTCTTCTTCTCCAAAGGGCTGGCTGATCTCAGCCATCTCTATTGACCATTCCACCCCATTCTTTTTCAGAAATTCCCTGCAGCAGTGCTGAAGCCCCTGCAATGCCCTGCACCTGTAAGAGGGAGCCCCAGAGAATGGGGCTCTGTTTAGAGCTGGAGTCAATGCCATTGCTCTGCCCAGAGGAGGGTCCTTGTCCCACATGGACCCTCCCCAGCAGAGCAAACCCCTGGAGTGCCAAAGCCACACAAAGAGGAAAGGAAACATCACCTGGGCTTGGCAACCCCTCTCCTACCAAGCCTTCCTGGAGGGCTTGGCTGCCATCAGTTCTCTCCAGGCTGTCCTCAGCTTTTGGGGATGCCTTGCCTTCCCTGCAGCCGCTGCATCCTTGCTGGAGTGTTGCAGCAGACCTTGTGTTAGAGGTAGAAATGAGCTACTTAAACACACTCTAGTCCATCAGCATGAAAAGGTCCCAGAGCTCAAAGCTCAGCCCATAGACTCCAACTCCAGCAGATTCCCACTGCAGGCTTCCCTTGCAGGCTCTGACTGACCTCACAGCAGACCCCTCACAACAGCAATTCCCTCTCCCCTTTGGTCAGTGTTCTCCAGAGGTACTAACCCACTGTGATAAAAGTATCACACTCATCCTTATTGGACATGGCTGTGACCCATTAAGGGCAAGGCAGATTCTGGTAATTAACATAGCTGTAATTTATCAGGGGTGAGGTCGCCTTAATCCATTCTCCTACACTGGAGCATCCCAGACGAAGCCTGGTGGGGGGATCCTGCTCCTGAGAAGGGCTCTCCAGCTCTGCTGTTGTGCAGCACAAATGAAGGAAGAATTTTGTTCCTGCTTAGTCCAAGCATGGATTTACTGAGGTGCAAGGACACCCCTCTCCTTCCCCACTGTGCTCAGGCTCTCTGCATCTCCCTTCAGAGCCCCCCACCACCCTGCACCCATGTGGGGCTGGGACAGCAAAGGCAGCAGGGCCCAAAAGTGCCCCCAGCTCCAAGGAAAGATGGCACAGCCCCAAACCTGAACTTGGCAGCACACAGGAGAGCATGTCCTGGGCTCTGTGCCCTGTAAACAACCCACTGACCGAGCTCCCAGCCCCACGGAGCCCCCAGCAGCCCCCCACAGCCTGCTGAGGTGCCTGGCCGGCTGCAGCCATGTCCCATGGGAGGCCGATCTTTTCAGACGGGAATTGGGGTAGAGGGACTGGGACAGGAGCCACCAAGAGTTCACTCCAGCAAACAAACAGATGAAAAACAGCAAATCCCACCCAAAAACAAAGCAAAACTCACCCGCCATCTGGCCCAAGGGCCCAGCAGCCGGAGATGCGGACGCTGGAGAAGGCTGGGGGGCTGCTCATCTCCCCCTGCTGCCGACCCAGGGCTGATCCTGGACAGGTGCCACCCCTGTCCCTGTCCACACTTCGGCTCCTGTCCCACCCGCACTACCAGGGTGAGGGAGGGGCTATGCCAGCGGGGCTCCCAGGGTGATTCTTGGGGCACGGAGCCATGCACGGGATGTCCCCCTGGAATGGGCACTGAAGGGTCCCAGGAGGCCGGGGTGAGGCAGAGCCCCAGCAGATGCAGGGGGCTGGAAGATGGAGGCAGGAGAAGGGAGCAGAGCAGGGGGAGTGTCTGTGCCCGGGAGCTGCGGGGCGGTCAGCAGCATAAGAGGATAGCTTAACCTCCAGATTACGCTCATTACCTGATATTAATAGCACTGGCTTGATTAAAGAAAAAGAGGGGGTTGGGGGTGAGGTGACACCTCCCCTCACCGCCCCCAGCACAGGCAATAAACACCGGCCCCGGCGCCTCTGCTCCCGGGACTGGGGGTGCTCGTCTGTCCTGGACGTGTGGGCTCAGCAAGGAGGGCACCTGGACACTGACATCCACATCCACTGGCACTGGTGAGTTCCCAGGGACTTCTCGACACCACTGGGGAGGGGGCTGCAGGGGGCAGGAGGGGATGACCCCAGGGCAGGGGGTACCCAGCCAGCACCCCTCAAGCAGCTGGTGGAGCAGCTGGGGCTCAGGGCCAGGGGCTGCTGGCCATGTAGGGCTTTTTGGTCCAGGACTCACACCCCTCTCCATGGCTCCCATCGTTGGGGGGTCTGGCTGAGGGTTCCCCCCCGGATCACTCAGCTTCCCCAAGAGCTGCCCCTCACCATCCCCTCAGCCCTGGAGTAAACAAGTGGGTGAAACTCAACACCCCAGGGCTGCGGGTGGCTAAGAATAACATCCCTCTGGCTGCTGTGCCCGCTCCCTCAGCACCCCCTGCCAGCTGCCCTTGCCCCCCCCAGCTCTTCCTCCAGTATCAGCCTCTCCAGGGAGGGCAGGGAGCCTGGGCATCCTGTGGGAAGCCCAGGGAGCCAGGCAGCTGCTGAAGGGCAGGACATGTGGCAAGGGTGGGAGATGCTGGGCACCAAGGCAGGGGGTCCAGGCCAGCCCTGGAGCAGAGATTGGGGCAGAGCAGCCCTCAGCCCACAGCCTCTGGCTGCCAGGGAAGGGAGAAGGTGGTGCAGGACACACCTGAGGGCAGCCAGGCTCTGCCAGGGACACGGAGCATCCAGACAAAGTCCCGTGGCCACCAAGTGAGACCCCAGCCTGCCCCAGCATGGTGAGAGGAGCTTGGCCTCTGCACACCCACTGCTGAGGGGTTCCAAGGAGGGTGCTCCCTCCTGCTCAGCACCAACACCTGGAGATGGGGCCTGAAATGGAAAAAGACCCTTTCCTCCTCCTCCTCGAGCCATCAAGGTTATTCCAGAGGCAAGGGAAACACACTGCCTCCCACAGTCATCAGGAAACTCCTCCTGCTCCTGCTCCTGCTCCTGCTCCTGCTTCTGCTCCTGCTCACCAATGGGACCTGCAGAGCATTGTCTCGAAAGATGGAAACCTGATGGGAACCAGAGATGAGGGGCTGGTCCTGAGGCAGGGGACAGGGACAGGAGGGTTTTGGGGGTAACCTGCCCCCAGCATGAGCCACAGCTGCTGCTGCAACATCAGGGAAGCGAGCGATGATCAAAGGAACTTTTCCATCCCTGATCTCTGCCTGGACTCCCTTCTCGCTGTAAAAGCTCTCTCAGAAGTTTAAAAATAAAATTCTGTTCCGGAGCCACTTCTGTTCCTTCTCATTAAAGAAGCAAAAAAAGCAAAGGGATGCGGGACATGGCGCAAGGAGCCATCGCCCAGGGACATTGTTCCTTATCTCATGCTCCTGCTGCCACTTTTCCTGCCTTTGTTCAATGTCCAGGCGACAGGAGCAAGTCTCCCAGCATCCCACCCGACATTCCCACTGGGCTCCCAGGTGGGACACACTGGCTCCAAAGGCCAGCTGTGACTGAGCCTTCCTGCTGGCACAAATCTCCTCTGCTTCCTAAGCCACTTCCCAGTTTCCCAGTTCTTGCACAAGTTGAAATTCCTGGGTTTTGGACTTTCTTCTTCCAGGTGATTTTTAAGCAAATCCCTCCTCTAATGGCAGAATTAAAATATGGAGAAAGAGGAAAGCAGGCACGAGGGCCAAGTTCCCCTTTTTCTTCTGCTGCTGGCAGCTGCTGGGTGGGTTTCCCCTGGGATTTAAGGACGGAAATGCATGTGGATTTTCCTCATTTGGTCACAAGTACTGTCACTGGATTGGTGCGACAGCTGCAGGCACACCAAGCCCTGAGTGGAAGGATGCCTGTTCCAAGGAGAGGGTCTTGCTCCCAGATGCCATCCTGTCAGCAGCACCCACAGGAGCGTGGAGGTCAAACCTGCTTCCTCCATCGCTGGGCTGGGCTTTCTTGGGCTGGATCCACGTGTACCAGCTCTTGGCTGGGCCTTCCCTGTCCAAGAAACCCAAGGGATGGAGGAACACAGCCAAGGAATGAAGGAACATGTCCAAGGGATCCAGGAACCTGCCCATGGGATGGATGAACCCACTTGAGGAATGAAGGAAACTGCCTGAGGGATGGAGGAACCCACACAATGGATGGAGGGACCTGGCTGCCATCCCACTGTCACACCTCATGCCCATCCTGGAACCCACGGAACGTCACTCCCTTTGTATCAAGCTTTTTTACCCAGCTTTGTACCGAGCTCTGTCCTGGCCGGAGCCACCTGGAGCTGGACACTTCATCTCAGCAGCTCCATGCACAGACACTCCCTTCCAGCCCTATTATGGTCTCTGCTCCCTCACCACAAAAGGACAAACATTTCCCTCTGCAAAGCCAATTATCCGTTGCTATTTATACCCGGTGGGAGCCACGGTGGAAGGGGCTCTGTTACACAACCCAGTTTCTCATCCCTCACTTGACTGGCACAGCTTGGGGAGACTCCTTCCTCTCATCCTCATCCTCATCCTCATCCTCCCCGCTATCCACAGCTGGCTGACAGGAACAGCACAGGCAGCTGCCAGCATTGGGTTTAGCTGCTGGAACATGCAGGATGGGAACATGATGGGAACTGCTGGGATGCTTTGGCACTGACTCTGGGGTTGCTTGGTTGGAGCCGTGGGGTGTTGGTACCATACAACCAGGGATGCAGGGGTGCTCCATCCCTAAAAGCTTTGCCACATCCCCAGAGCACCGGTGATGCTCCAAATGCAATTCCCAGATATTTGATATTTGAGGATTGTGCTGGAAAAGGGGGTGGAAACCAGAGGGGACACATGAGTATGTGTGTGGGGTGGGGGGGGCTGGGGGCAATCACCCTGTATGGGTTTTTTAGGTGGAAAAGTTTAAGTTGTCCCACTCTTCATCTTGATGGAGAGGATGCATGTGCAAGCAAGCTCGGAAAATGGGAGGCTGTGGTTTATCTGCTGGGAAATTAAGGGCTAAAACCATAAAATAAGGTAAATAAGGGAAGAGGTAGCATCATAAAAGGGGGGGAGGGAAGGGATGAAAATAAACAAGGGATAAAGCGGGGGTGGGAAGAAACGGTTGGTGGGAAAAGCGGAGGGATTGCATGGAGCGATGGGCTCGGGGAGGCCCCACTCACGGAAGTGGCATCGTGGGGACGGGACCGGCACCGCCACCCCCGGAGCCCGGGGAAACGGGGACCGGCAGCTCCGGGGCACCGCGGTGTCCGTCCCGTCCCGGAGGGATGATCCCGGGGAAAAGAAAGCGGGGTCTTACCTGTCGTGCGGTTCTAGCGGAGCCCCCTCGGGCACCGGGGCCGCGGCCATGGTGCTGCGGGAGAGGCGGAGCGGGCGGGGAGCGGCGGGGGCGGCGCTGCCGCGGGGATCCCCGGGACTTGTAGTGCGGGGAGGGGAGGGAGCGGCAGCGGGAGGGTTCGGGGGGGATCTCGGCACCGCTGGGTGCTCTGCGGGGGCAGATGGGTGATGGGGCACCGAGGGGTGCCGTGGTCATGGGTAAGAGCTGTGCGGGGAGATGGGTCTGTGTGGGCACGGCTGGGTGCTGTAGGGCACAAGGGGTGGGTTGTGGGGTGCGTGGGGGTGTTTGGAGGTATTGGTGGGTGTTCTGTGCATGGCTGGGTGCCGTGGGGCTCAGAGTGATGCAGTGGGCACCTGTGGGCGCTATGGGGTGGCTGCACCTTAGCATCCCTGCCCAGGACGCTGAGGGCTGCAGCACACAGCACCCCGCACCGCCCTGCTGCGGGGGGAGCGCGCTTTGGGTGACCCCGGGCTCGGACAATGTCTCTGGGCACTGGGCAGAGCTGGAAGGACCGCGGCCCGTGGGGGTCCCGGGGCCCTGTGTGGGATCTGGTTTTACTCGGCACCGCGCTCCCATCACGGCCGGGCTGCCCCGAGGTTCGTGGTACCACATGTTTGGGGGTTCGGGGGCCAAGGCAAGCACCGCTCCCGGGGTCCCCACCCGACTCTGGGGAGGCGAGAGCGCCCATGGGGAAAGGCTGCGTTCTCAGCCAGCAGCGAGATCAGTCTAAATCTGTCCCTGACTTGGGTTCGGTGCCAAAAAAGCCATTAGGGAGCAGAAGAGGATTTATTCCCACGCTGGGAGAGCTGGGGGTGGCCCCGGGTCCCGCAGAGCTCCCCAGGGAGGAGAGGTCCTGGGCTGGATGTAGCCCCTGGGGCCAGGAGACGCTGGTGCTGCCGATGAGACAGGTGGATTTGGAGCAGCTTTAAAGGGTTTTCTGCTACGGGAGCAGGGAGTGGCTAGGCTTTGGGGATCCTCGTGGCACCAGGATTGCTGGCTTTGCCACCAGTCCTCACCTTCCCCATCCCGGTTTTGGGGGTACCTCTGGGTTAGTGGCCACACGCTCCATTCCCAGCATTTGGGGGGTTCCTCTCAGCCACTGCCAGGAAGGACAAATCCAAACCCCCTGGATCCCATGTCCAACCCTCCCTCCAAACTGCCAAATAAAGGTGACAACAGTGCTAATAAAAAATCAATAACCATTTATTCGATACAGCTGTTTCATACATACAGTACAGGGAGCGCCTCGGCGCTGCTCGGCTGCTCGGAGCTGCTCGGACAGTACTCTCCAACTGAGGATTTGTCAATGATTAACAAAAGAACAGATCATCACAAATCGGGAGTTTATTATAAGATAGTTTACCGTTAAAACAATTTTATTTTTTGCAAATAAACACTTTTTAATATATATATTTATATATTTATATATATGGTTACAAGTGATAAATTGAAAATTTTTTTTTCCTTTTTTTTTTTTTGTTTTTTTCTGTTTTAATTTTTTCCCCAAAATACACTTATGCACTAATAACTGGCATCAACGAGAAACATTCGGATATGCCGTGGGATGGGTGTCACGAGGAGAGAAAGAAAAGAACAAAATGCTCCCAAGGTTCCTGGGGGTGAGAGATGCTCCAGGCCTGGGCAGCTCCACCACTGTGGCTGGAGCTGGTGTGACACAGCCAACCTCGCCAGGGCGCGGTCTTGGTGCCGAGGGTTCCCCAGTTCCCCACAGTCCAAGCTTTCCATGAGGTCTTCCCACAGGCTTGCAGTCCGTGCCTGCTCCCATGGAGGTTTAGCCCTTTCCTTGGGGACATGGGTGATGGGATGGTGGGTTTCCCCAACAGTGGACGTGTGGGACCACAGTGTCACTGTGCCCAGGGTGACAAAATCCCCAAATCCCATGGCTGACAGGATGGAAGGGGACAGGACACCTTGTCCCCCATCTGGTCCTGCAGCCTCTGCCTGTTCCTCTGGATCAAGGTGATTTCCCCCCAGGCACTGCCTCACAGGGAGCACCTGAAGGGGCACAACCTACTGGCCCCCAGCAAAGCCACTATGGTGTCACTCAGCCCTGCCCACTCACCTGTCGTGGCACTGGCAGGGGCTGGTGGTCCTGGCATTGCTCTGGAACCTTCCCTGGACAAGCAGGAGAGTAAAGGATGTCTCATGGAGAAGGTGGTGGGGGGAACATGTTCCTCTCTGAGTGATGGCTAGTGGGGAAAACACCTTTTTTGGGGGGGGAGAAAAAGCCCTGAAGATTTCACTTTCTCATAGAAATTCTGACCTGACCACGGTGCTGCCCTCACTGGGTCAGTGGGTGCTCTGAGGGTGACAGGGACAGCCCCAGCGCCAGGACCACTGCTCCCACTGTCTGCCCTGAGACCCAAGACAGTCCCTGGTGTCCCATCCTGGCTGGTGTCACTCTGCGAGGTCACTGCAGCTGTCCCTGCTCCTGCCAGACACTCTCATTATGGAAGCAGAGTGGATTTTGATCCAGACCCCACACTGACCCCTTGAGCCATGTCTGCCCCACCCTGAGCAGCTCCCAGGGCTTCCCCTGCAGAGCACAGTGCTGCCTGTTAATTTAATCAATGAGAAGCCAATTAATTGCATGTTAATGAGAACAGAGTCCCAGACCATGCCCACAGGGGGACAGGAGGATTGTGTGGTGAGCATCCAAGCCAGCAGCCCGGACTACCCAGATCTTCCTTCCCTAGGCCAGGGCATGGAGCTTTCCTGGGGACTTCCCTCCATGGCAGGACGTGATTTTGGGATCCAGCGGCTCCCTCTGCACCCTCACAGAGATTTCAGTGCCAGGCCCAAGCTCTGCCTGAGCTCCCCTTCCTGCTGCTGCCTGTGAGCTGTTCCAAGCTGACCTACAGCTCCCAAAGCTCTCTGCCCAGGGAGGCAGGGTCTACCCCAGTGACACCATCCAAACACAGATCCGATGAAGTGCAAGCAGCGACCAGGCTGAGCTGCAGTGACCAATTAAGCTTTCTCACTAATTGCCTCGCGGCCCGGCGCAGCCAGCAATGCTCAGGCAGTTCCCTCAGCTGCAGGCGTGTGCCCAGCTGGGCAATGCAGATGGTGGATCCAGGTGCTGGAGCAGAGCACAGCAGGAGCCCTGGCTTCCTGAGAAGCCACCCTGGCTTCAGCCACCACTGCTCCCCCTCCGTGGCTGGAATAGCCTGCCGATGGAGGATGATAATAATGACTGAGCTGCTGCTTGGAGCAGGGAATGATACCGAGCCTCTGGTGGGCGACAAGGAGCAGTGAAGGAAAGCAAGGGCTGAGGTTTGAATTGATTAAAGCAAAAGCAGAAGCTCCCCCTCTGATGCCTCTTTCCTGGCTCTGCATAGGGGAAAAATCAAATTAAGGTTTTCTGTTGTGTTACTGAGAGGAAACGTGCCTGTTTCCCAAGGACCGAGGTAGCCTGGTTTTGTCTGGAGACGGGCACATCCCGGTCCAGGGATGGCTCCCCCCGGGCTGGAGTGAGGTGTGTGATGACAGTGTCAGCACAGGAGCAAAGAAGAACTCTGGGGAAGAGCACAAGCATGGATGGCACCACAGGGACCTGCCACCTCGAGGTGGGTGGTCAGGGGCTCAGACGCATCTTTAGAAGCAGAGACTCCTCCCTATGGTGGGTCCCAGCCTGGAAGGACAAGGGGAATGTGAGATGCCTGGGCAGCAACTGGGCTCATCCTACAGCAGGAGCCGTGATTGTCTCTCGATGCTCCCCTGTCCCTGTTACACACCTCCTGTAGCCACAGCTGGGGAACAGAGACTCCGTTCCTCCCTCCTGGGTGATCGGCACCTTCGGGATGGAGCACAGTGGGACCCTGAATCACCCCTGGATGCCCCCAGGCCGGGGGACAGCTTGCTTGCTGCCATCTCCCCCTGACCCTGGCATTAGTATCATGTCTCTGTCATCACAGCGCTCCAGATCCGGCAAACACAACCCAAGCACGGAGGCACAGCTCCCTCACCGCACCCCCTCCATGGCTGCACTGCCACTCTCGACGGTGCCCACAGCATTCCCACAACTTTCCAATAGCCAGTCCCAGAGCACCCCCTCTCCTGCTCACACCTCCCACACCACCAGCGTGTGTCCTGCTCCCTCCTGTGCCTCGCACCACGCAAACCCTGCCGATCGCCTTCCCCCTGGAGCCGCGGCTGCGGGGAGAGAGAGCGCTGCCAACTCCCCCGCACCCCGGAGCCTCCTCCCGACCGCCTCAAACATCTTTGGAAACATCACCCTGGAGCTGGGAGGCTGCCGGACAGGTGGGCAGCTCCCCGGCCAGGCACGGAGCCGCTGGGGGAGGGTCCCTGCCCACGGGACCCCGCTGCTATTGCACTTCTCTTTCGCTCAAGCGTCACCAGGTTTGCGCAGGGGAGGGGAATCACGGGCCGGGGGAGGCAGCGGGGCCCCACCGAGGTTTATGTACATGGGCAGGGGGTGGAGAACGTTCCAGCTTCCTTGATCTTGTTTGTTTTCCAGTGTGAAACAAGGTCCGTGATTTGTTTAAAGTGGTTAATTGGTATTTTCTGTCTTTTTTTTTTTTTTTTTCTTTCTTTTTGTAAAAAGAGGGTGAGAAGAGGGTGGGGCAAGGGGAGGTGGGATGGGGAGGAGTGGACATAAAACTGGGAGAGACCCCCACCCTGTTACCCTGGGCTGTAAACGAATCCTCGGAGACGAGTCTCTGAGCTGCTCATTTCTCGGGCATCTTGCTGGCTCCTCCCTTTCGCTGGCTCGGGGGCTTGAGGACGAGCTCGTCTCCCTCGGGGCTGCCCCGGGAGCCTTCCCAGTGCTCGAGGGTTTTCTTGTGATTAGTCTTTGCTGTCACGCTCTCTCTGCCCTTCGGGGACATTTCTGGAGGCCTCTCCTTGGGTTTTCTCCCCCTTTTCTTCCCGTTTGTGCTTTTCTTTTTCTCCTCTTTGCTGGAAGAAAGCTGTTCCCTGTTTTTCTTTTTCCGGCTGGCCTCTGAGGAAGTTCGGAACCAGTTCTGTGTCCGTGGGGTGACACGAGGGTTAGTCCTGGGGCACTGGCACCGATACCGGCACCAGCACACACAACCCGAGCCTGGCCCACCCCTCACCCCACTGGCGTCACCTCCCTGAGGTCAAACTGCTCAGTGCTGAGCTGCTGCAATGAGCCTGGGGGTGTCAGGGACACCAAGGGGGATCAGGATGAACCTCCCAGGCTGACTGGAAGCTGTCACTCAGCTCTGCTCTTAACAGACATGGATGGATGGATGGATGGATGGATGGATGGATGGATGGATGGATGGATGGAAAGGGACAGCCCAAGGATGCGTAGTTGGAGTGGGGACCAGCCCAGCCCAGCCCAGCTCCAGCTGCTTCCTTACCTCTGAGTGAGCCTTGATGATGTGGTATTTGACACCACTCTCAGAGCTGAACTCCTTCTGGCACAGGAGGCAGCGGTACTTGCCCACTGAGTGGTCCCCCTGCAAGACACAGCAGCTCCTGCAGAGCCCAAAGCGCCCCAAGGGGTGGCACTCCCCTGGCCCTGACCCTCCTGTGACCTCAAAGTGACACAAAATTAACACTCATGTCTGAAAGATCTCTGCCAGCTTTGGTTCTGGGCCAGGAGCTCACAGCCACATCCTTTCTGAGTATCAGTCCATGACACTCGTGCCTGTGTCCCCAGCATCAGGTGATGGGGCCATCACCCTGTGTACTCACTGTCACAGATCTGTGATCCCCTGGGACTGAACCACCATCAGATTTATGTCCAACACTCACCTGATTTTCCTGTTACACTGTCAAAGAGCCAGGGTGACTGCTGGATTCCTGTCACCAGCGCCCTGGTGGGATGACAGATCTCCTAGCTCTGCTGCAGGTCACAGCACGTGGGAGATAATGTGCTCTCTATTGACAACGGGGTTATGGATGGGCCCCTCTGGGCCATATATTTCCTCCCTGGGAATTTCTCCGTAGCTGTAAATCTTGAGTTAGAGAGGTCTCTCATTTCAGGAGAGGACAGGCCTGGCTTCAGGAATTCTTGTGCAAAATCATCCTGGTACATCAATCCCCACTGAGGATAGGGTGCTGCCTGGGAGCAGCCTCTGCTCTAAGGCTCTATGCAACCAGTTCTGCAGGATTTTACAGCAGGAATCACACACCATTTCTGGAGGGGCTGTGATTTTTTTATGCCTAATTTGTTGGCACATGTATTCAAAGGAAATCGATTCCCCTAAGGGGAAGAATCCTGCTGATGGCAGTGTGGGGGTAGCAGAGCAACTCCCCATTGCTGACTCCCAGTACCTGGCCCCAGCTGTACCAGATCCAGAGGGTGCAGCTCTGTGCTTCATGGAAATGTTCATGCATATTCCGCCTGCTTCCTGTGCATGGAACCAACCAGAAACCAGCTCCATTTTCTCTCAGAGAAG